TCGGGGGGAGGCTCGGTGTGAGGTAGGCTGGAGGGGGGCAGGCCGGTGGGGAGCCCAGCTGGTGGGGACCGCCAGGCTCCCGCGTGCTGCCGCGGCAGGGATCAGCCCCTGCAGCTCCAATGAGGGTGCCTGAAGTGCATCAGCACACCAGGCTGCAGCTTCCCTGTGGTATGTTGAAATGCCTTTGCAGAGAGGGTCATACAGAAGTCTGCCCCAGAGCAGAGTGTGGGAGAGAAGAAAGATCACAGGAATTTAACAGCTGGGCTCCCCAGGCCAGAGGGGAAAAGAAGAAAGCAGATTAATTCTTTGTCTTGGGCTCTGATTCACCTGGGCTCTTAAGGATGTGTTTAAAGTCAGGCATATCATTAAGTGCTTTACTGAATCAGGCTCTCAGTGCGAAGATGAGAGGAGAAACTAGCACAGAGCAAGTGTGATCCATCTCAGCCATATGTCGCTGAGGAGAGGGAGCCAGGTCAAGGTGGGAAGGACCATGTAGGGCCTGATTCAGGGCTGGCGGAGCCAGTGGGACTCTTCCCAGTGGCTGCCACAAGCTTTGGACTCGATACAGCTTTTCACACGCTGGACTCGTTCCAGCCTGTGCCACTTGCACCCACTGCCGGCTTGCATCCCACTGCACATCCCACTCACTTGCCCTGAGGGCTGCACAGGGCTGAGTCAGGCGATGCTGCAGGCCTGCAATGGCTTTAAGGAGAGATCTAGCCCTGCAGGCCAGCTTTCAAAGGTGGGCTAAGTCAGCAGGCTGATCCTGACAAACAGCCTGCCTGCCCTGTGGGCTGAGCAGCCTGAGAGACTTGGGATTAAAAGTCCATTGTGATGGAGAATAGCCTGGAAAGGAAATCAAATTGTTCTATTCCGATCCCCTAAGGCCGTACTATCAGTGATCTGGAGGGAAAGGAAGGATTCCTATGTTTGGAGAATGAGCTCAGTTCCAAGAGGAATTGCTTTAAGGCCCTAAACTTGGGGGGGGAACCACGTCTCACCGTTCTTACTGCTGTTCTTACTGCTCCAGCCTGCAGCTCATCCATCAGGCTGTTGGGCAGTCACCAGGCAAACCGCACCATTAACTGTGCTGTAGATATCTGAGGGAGTGAATTCGTCCTCCTAACCACCAGCAGGGATGGGAACATCCTGCAGCCCTGTTTCAAAGCCTCATTCTTTTCCTGTCTTTTCTTTCCTGGCTCATCTCATTTGCATTTCAATACCAGATAGTACCTCCAGGCTGTGGCCATCTCAGAGCAGCGCCGGTGTCTGCACTCAAACATCTTGACCATTGGGCACCCTGACAGCGCGGCACCCCAGCATCTGCTCAGCTCAGCTTGCTTTGCAAAGGAGACTTGCAGGAGTGGGTACCTAGCTTGTTCCTCTCCTTCTGGGGGGCCAGGGACTCCTTGGCTATCATACTGTAAGCACTCTGGGCTATGAGAGCCCTCTGACCCCCCCCAAGAAGTGGGGCACAGATGGGGTGCCACAGTGTTATTGCCTGCCCAGGCTGTGTGGGGCCACTGTGGTAGGAAGGAGGGCTGGAGGCTCTGGAAGATCCTGGGGTCTGGCTGAGTGAGGATCCTCTCTCTTGCAAGGCTCACTGAGGTAGCTGTGTGTTAAACAATGGATATTGGCTAATCTTTTTAGAGCCAGCCAGCCCACTAATTAGGTTCCCAGCCTGGCTGCCTTGCTGCATGTAACAATTAGTCCCATTTAAAATGACACTCTAACCCACCCCCAATTTCCTTACTCCTCAGGGATTGAGTGGGCCTTGAACTCGGCAAGCACCAGGGAAACTCATCTGTATTCCAAGGAGGCTGCTGGCTCCTTCCGCTCCAGCCCTGCAACCCACACATCCACCTCCTCCTTTGGGGAGTTTCCAGTGATTTTGAGTGCTGGAGATCTCCAGAAAACACTACTGCATTAAAACCGCCTCCTCCTTTGGGGAGTTTCCAGTGATTTTGAGTGCTGGAGATCTCCAGAAAACATTGCTGTATTAAATCAAATTAACATTTGGGGTCAAGCCTATAGATTTCCAGGAGCAGAGGGTAGGTTGAGATGTTGCAGTAAGGCCAGGACTGCATTTGGCTGATAACATATCCTGGCTATGGGTTGCAGATTCCTGGTGCCGCTGCAGGGTTACAGAGTCTGAGAGGTTTCTTCCCGATGCACACATGCACACACCTGTGCATATCAGTGGGGTCTGGCTGCCCACAGTCCAGAGCAGGGCTCAACAGCACCCAGTCAACATTAGCCCCTCTGACTCCCCTTTTCCCCCAAATCTCTTTTACCTCCATGGCTCTTTTCTAACCAAATGTGACAGCAAAGATGCTGTAAGAGGGGACATTCCTACCTTTTTCAAGAAAATCCATAATTCGAAGGAGGGGATAGAGCACATCTGTACCTCTGTTAAGGGTAAGGCATGAACTCAACTTTTATTAGTCTTCAGAGCATCAGCTCTCATTCCCACATCCTGCTAACCCTGTGAGTGCCACTGCTTATTTTCTGAGGCATGCTCACATTGATCTCTGAAATCCCCTTGGATGGTTGGGGTGGGGAGAGGGGGAGGAAGATGGGATGGTTGGGAGGCTGGGGATGGAGGGCTGGATGGCCATGGAGGAATGGCAGTTTGACTGCTGCCTCTGTGTAGGAGGATTCGGCAACAGGGAAAAGGGGACTGTGGCAGACATGGGGCAAGGTCCAGAACAGCCTGGTGCCCCTGTTAGCGCAAGCCCAACTGGCCCAGGGATGCTTGCAGTGAGCGGGCTGGGCAGAAGCTGCTGGCTTCCTGGGGCTGCCTGCATTGCTGTGGCTTCCTGGAATTATCTGAGAGGGATGGAGAGAGGAGGAAAAAAATCACCTGAACCTAAACACCAGAACAATCCACTTGCCGCAAGCCAGCTCTACTAGATATAGCCAGGCTGGTGCAGCAAAGCCTGTGTCTGACTCCTCACAGCTGCCTGTCTCCATTGCATGCCCTCCACCTGGGGCTGCAGCACCTCCCTGCCAGCCTGGCTAGGCTGTGAGAGTATCTTTAGAAATATGGAGACAAGGAGAGATTATATTTTATCAGACACCAGCAGGAGGGACTTTAAAGGTGGCCTGCAACTCAGCACACTGTTGAAGCAGGGCTTGGTTTTTTCCTCAGCACATGACAGATAGTGTGGTCCTTTACTATGAATTAGATGACCCTCCAGTGTTAGGCTCTTTCACTGGACCTGGGAAATGGTAGGACCTGGGCAGAGGAGGTCCTTCCAGAAGGGTAAAAGGTGGTCCTGTGCCCACAATGGGGCAACAGGTCCCTGCAAGCTCTCCTGACACTGGCGGTGATGGGAGACAGTTGCTGTGTCTGGATGCTTGGAGAGACTGAGAGCACTCACAAAGCTGCTGGCAGCACCTTAATTCCTGGATGGCCGAGCTCAGAGGGTTGTGGTGAATGGCGCAGAGTCAAGTTGGAGGCCTGTAGCTAGCGGTGTCCCCCAGGGGTCAGTCCTGGGTCCAGTCTTGTTCAATATATTCATCAGTGACCTGGAGGAAGGGACAGAGTGCACCCTCAGCAAGTTTGCTGAGGATACTAAACGGGGGGGAGTGGCTGACACACCAGAAGGCTGTGCTGCCATTCAGAGGGACCTGGACAGGCTGGAGAGCTGGGCCGAGAGGAACCTCAAGAAGTTCAACAAAGGCAAGTGCAAGGTGCTGCACCTAGGGGGAAATAATCCCATGCAGCAGTACAGGCTGGGGGTCGACCTGCTGGAAAGTAGCTCTGCAGAGGAGGACACCCGGGAGTGCTGGTGGACAACAAGGTTGAGCATGAGGCAGCAATGTGGGCCAAGGGTCTCCTGGGGTGCATTAGGCGGAGCGTTGCCAGCAGGTGGAGGGAGGTGATCCTGCCCCTCTCCTCAGCCCTGGGGAGGCCTCACCTGGAGTACTGTGTGCAATTCTGGGCTCCCCAGTACAAGAGAGACATGGCGCTACTGGAGAGAGTCCGGTGGAGGGCTACAAAGAGGA